CGTCTTGTAGGCTGTCAGTACGGTAGCTTCTCCAATGGGTAGGCGCACTTTGCTTCGTGCACAACTGGGTTTTAGGAGCAGAAATTCTTTTCCGGTAAGAAAAAGTTTCAAACGTTTTAAACTTTCTTTTTCCCTCCTTCTCCGCGTTGACAGATACCAATTTTTTTTTGGAAATCATGACGCGCCCGGCACAGTGCGTAAAAACAAGTGAGAGTCAAACGCTTAATTCCTCTAATACTATATTACCTAATAATAATTTACACATAGGGTGCTATCTCTTCTATGGAGGTGTATGAAAGCCACCTTGCGGATTCAATCACTTTTCCCATTTTAATAATAATAATAATAATAATAATAATAATAATAATAATAATAATAATAATAATAATAATAATAATAATAATAATAATAATAATAATAATAATAATAATAATAATAATAATAACATATATACAATAATTCGAAACATAAAGGAGGCGATTCGAAGGACCCATCTGAGTATAGACCGATTACATGTCTCTCCACGCTCTATAAAGTCATCACATCCATTGTAACCCGATTAATTGGGAGACATGTAGCTAAGTGGAAAATTTTGTGTGAAGAGCAGAAAGGGTGTCGCAAGGGAAGCTTCGGGTGCAAAGAGCTGTTAATAATTGATTCGGTTGTGCTCAAGCAGGCTGTAAAGGAACGTCGTAACTTACATGTGGGTTACATCGACTACAAAAAAGCTTTTGATTCAATGCCGCACAGCTGGCTAATTCACGTTTTAAATATCTACCGAGTCCATCCTGTCATTGTTCATTTCCTGAAGAGCATTTTGGCATCTTGGCGCACCAGAATCATAATACAAGGATCGGCGAGTGAATTAGAAACTGAGGTCATCCACATCCTGCGAGGTATTTTTCAAGGTGACAGTCTTAGTGCATTGTGGTTCTGTTTAGGCCTCAATCCCCTCTCAAATTGCATTCGAGAGATGAAGGTAGGGTTCCCTCTGCGTCGGAACAGACAAGTACTCCACGTCATCAACCACCTAGCCTACTTGGATGATATTAAGATCTATGCATCCCAAAGAGACCAGTTGCATCAACTTTTCAAGGTGATTGAAGAGGTCAGTGATGATATTGGCATGATGCTTGGAGTACCTAAATGCGCGACGCTCCATATAGAAAACGGCGTTATAGTGCGGGAGGATGGTTTTGTGACCAATTCTGGTGACGTCATCAATAGCTTGACAATGGAGGATGCTTATAAATACCTTGGAATGTGGCAGAGCTCTTCCATCCAGAAGGTGAGAGTCAAAGAGCACCTGGTTAACACCTTCGTTGATCGGCTGAGTGCGATACTTAAGACCTCTCTAAACTCAAAACATACGACCAAGGCAATCAACACCTTCGCCATTCCTGCGTTAGCGTACTCATTTGGCGTTGTCCCATGGTCTGACACGGAGCTTGAGGGGCTTAATAGGAAAGTCAGAACCTTGATGACCAAGTGGAATAAGCATCACCCAAGAGCCGCGAAGGAGAGAATACACATCCCCCGCAAACAGGGGGGAAGAGGTATCCTTGATGTGAAGGAGGTCTGCCACAGCCAAGTCCGTAACCTGCGAAATTACTTCCTCAGTAGAAACGACAGCACTTTGCACGCTGCAGTAAATGCCATAGATAAATCCTACACGCCTTTGCGCCTCGCTTGTCACGATCTGAATGAAGAACAACCCTCAGACCCAGTTGCTGGCCAGTTGGAGGCATGGGCCTCCAAGCCGCTGCATGGACGCTTTTATCATTCAGTTGCGCAGGATCATGTTAGTGAAGGAAAGTCTTTCTTGTGGTTATCGAAAGGGCAGCTGTATCCAGAAACGGAAGGATTTGTTCTCGCAATACAAGACCAAGTGATCAGTACCAGGAATTACAAGAGATATATACTGAAGGAGAAGATCGAGAGCGATAAGTGTAGGAAGTGTAATGCTGCATCCGAGACAATAGATCACATTACATCTGGTTGCGCATTGCTTGCAGGGAAGGAATATACCGAGCGGCATAACAACATGGCTAAAATTATACATCTAGCGCTGGCCAACGATCGAGAACTATGTGATACTGCTGAACCCTACTACAAATATTGCCCAGCCACGGTCCTGGAGAATCAGCGCTTCCGGCTCTATTGGGATAACCCGATCCTAACCGATAAAACCATCATGGCAAACAGACCGGACATAGTGCTTGTTGATAAGCGAGATCGCACCGCTTACATCATTGATATTAGCATCCCTAATAATCATAACTTGGAGCTGAAGTATCAGGAAAAGATGGTAAAATATCTGCCCTTAGCTGCAGAAATGAAGCGATTATGGAACCTGAATATTGTTTGTATCAAGCCCCTGATAATGTCAGTAACGGGGATAGTNAATAATAATAATAATAATAATAATAATAATAATAATAATAATAATAATAATAATAATAATAATAATAATAATAATAATAATAATAATAATAATAATAATAATAAAAAGCTGGAGATAACTTCGCATATAAATAATAATAATAATAATAATAATAATAATAATAATAATAATAATAATAATAATAATAATAATAATAATAATAATAATAATAATAATAATAATAATAATAATAAAAAAAAAAATCGGTTGGGAAATTTCATTCTTAGTCAGCCTGAAAATGTGTTTCCTAGTCATAGCAGCAGTTTGGTAAAATAAAACTTTAACTGAACTGGAAAAAAGGGATACCCAGCCAAATGAGGCACATCGATATACTTTTATCAGCCGTTATCCAAATCGCTATGAGCCCACTTGTGTTCGGTTTCACCTACAAAATAATAATCATTAGAAATCCAATCACAGTGATGAATCCGGGAGCAAAAAGCTCCGCTGAATTCCATTGGCCCCAGCCTCAGAATGAACGCGAGGCAGCGCACCAATCACGAGCCGCGCGCGGGCGCGAAATTCAAAACGTCCAAAACTTAGTCTCCACAGCGCCCGCCAAGTTCAATCTCGCCTAGCGGTGCTCCCGCGAAGTTCAAACTCGCATAGCGGTACTCCCGCCAATTTCTCACACAGCGCTCGCGTCGACCAATCACAGCCAAGCTCGCGGCAACGCTCTCTCACGCGACCGGTATAAATACCGGGACGCTGCGCTCCATGAATTCACTTCTAAGTGATGCGCCGTCCGATCAACACCCAGTCTCCAGATCCAGCCAAGCAGCGAAGCAAGCTAATCAAGACCCAGGAAACCAAGACTCAACCAAGTTCAAGCAGCAGCCAGAAAGGAAACCCGAACCCAAGTCAAGAATCAAGTTCCTCGAGCAAGGTCAAGGAGCGAATTTGGCGAGCAAGCTGAATCAACCCATCTATAGCGATCGGAGCGGCTAATCTCTCAGGGTCATCACAAAATCAACTTTAATATTCCACTTTTGGCAGTCCTATCTAAATTCACCCAGGAAAAAATTCAAGACATCTCTAACTAAATTCACGTTTGTATCAAATCCTCCAACCGGAGAAGCCGATTCACTTATGAATCTGGAGTAAAAGTAAGTGCAATAGCACAGAGTAGTATTCAAAAAACAAGTCCTTCTGACTGTCCTGCTCAAAGCAGAAGCCGGCGCATTACGTGCCTGGTGGCCCTTCAGGTCTCCTACCCATGGTAGTAGCCGGCTCACTTTGAGCCTGGTAAAAATAAAATCACCTAGGACAGGATCCTTCTGATCAATAAAAAATAGTCTCTCACTTGAAAACCTCATATATTATTCCATTTTCTCTTTCTTTTCGATCTTTTCATTCTTTGCTCTCTCGGTACAATCACCTCCAGCCTTTTAGGTCTAGCACATGTTTCTTCACCATTTTTGAGCCGTCATCCCATATTCTTTGGTCCCTCGGAAACTTATCATTTTTTGGCTACACTCATTTTTTCTGGTATTTTTTGACCCGCTCAATCCTTACAGCTTGTGTTTTTTTCTGATAGTTTAATTTCATATAAATTACTAAAATGTTTTTGTTTTATCCGCTCTCTGATTGCATAAGTAATTATATCTTCATTTCCTTTCCCTTTCAGTTTTTCCTTTTTTGTAGCATCTGTGTCTATTTAAAATTATTATGGTACACAGTACTTTAATATAGCTTTCTTTAAGAAACATTTGATGCTTCCATCGGAACCGATTTGTTTTAATTATTTTTTTTGCTAAATCGTGGATTTTTCCAGGAAGGCAGCCTCTCGTCCCTCTCACACTCTACTGATGCCGGAGAAGTTGCTTTTTCAACACTTCCATTGTTCAAACCCATGTAAAATATCCACATTTATCGCACAATCTAGCATTCCCACTGGACTGGAATAAAATGTGGGGAAAGGACACTTCCCCTCGAGTGAAATAGGAAAGGTTGGAATCCATTAAAAGGTATAATCCTACCACTCTTATATGAATTATAAGTCCATCATAACCAATGCTAGGAGTGGCGGCAGAAATGGATGATTGAATTTTTCAGATTGTTTAGCGGATTCAAAATTTCTAAAATAGTGCAGGAAGTGCAGATGCACATTGCGGTACGCAAGGTTCAAGCCGAACCTCAGTGTGCCGGGCCTGACAAGTTATTAAATAAAACATTTTCTCTAAGAACGCGGGGAAGAAGGGATGAAAATAGAAATAAAAAGTTTGAACATTCTTCTTACCGAACAAAAACTTCCTCTCCTTCTATATCCTTGGCAAGGGCTAATGCTCCTTTTTGTAAGAAGAATATACATTTTACCATGTAAACAAGGATAGGAACTGCAGATGACACTGCCCGTGCGAAGCACGGGTTGAACTGCTAGTTTCAAGAATAAAACAAGGCAAAAGAAAAAATAAAAAAATAAAGGAGTTTAAACCACTGCTCCCAGTTTTCTCGTCTTGGATGAACCAATGGACCGAGAGTATTTAATTCATAGGTTCATTAAAACTAAGCATGTTTCTTTTTATGTAAATTAAAATGAAAGATTGAAGGTGCTTACTCTGGTTGGATCAACACCTGCAGATAAGATAAAAAAGATCGGAATGGTTGCACCAGCTTCTTGAAAGGATTTTTCGAATTCGATACTTCGAGCCTCCACAAATTTTGCCCCAAGTTTTTCTTCAATAAAACACCTGCAGAGTAGTGCAAAAATATACTTAATCACTATCGTACTTCCCCTTAATTGGTGAGGCAATTCTCATTCAAATAAATTCCTTACTAGTTAGGTATTACTTGACGATGTCAAGTTTTTTTCATGAAGGCCATTAACATTTTTTAAATTTTGAAAATTAGGGGGGAAAATCATATCTATTCTACTTCCGTATTATTTATACTATTGATATAAGCATTGAGTTGGAGGATTGGTAGAAAATTAAAGGCTGCACGGAGTGTAAGTATTTACCTAGGTAGGCAATTAACCCAGGCTCAGGATAGAATTGCAGATCAATCTATACAGGGTGATCCAGACCACCCGTCCACTATCTTTTCTCGAAAACGGCGGAGAATTGAGCTTCGGGACCAGAACTTGGGTAAATCGACCCCAAAGAATCGAATGAAAATATTTTCAGCCCCCCAAAATGGTCCCTTGGGGGGTTTTTTGGCGGGAGCCCCCCCGTTTCTCGCAATTTTTAAATGGGAAGGGAATGTTTTGACTTTGGATTCGGAATCTACGGTAAAAAATAAGAACATTTTGTTCTTTTCATTTTTTCCCTAAACCCCCATTTTTTGGAGTTATGGGGCATTTTTGGGGCAATTTTCAATTCGACGCTGTAAGCGGCCAAATCATCAAAATTTCAAAATCTAAAAATCTCCTGAGAGGAGGGATCAATACCTTTTTATTGATGTGCCACATAACCCCTGTTGCTCCAAAATTTTGGGGGCCTCGACCCCCAAAAAATGTTGGGGCTTTGGAGGGCCATGAGTCGAAAATGTCGAAAGGCAAGGGTATGTTTTGACTTCAGATTTGGATTCTACGCGAAAAGTTACGTAGAATTGATATGGCGCATGGCCTGTTTGCTCAAATTTTTTTTACCCCTTATTTTGTCCAAAAATACACGGCTTCTTATGGGGAAATGGGGTTCTTCAATAATTTGGAGCAAACAGGCCATGCGCCATATCAATTTTACGTAAATTTTCGCGTAGAATCCAAATCTGAAGTCAAAACATACCCTTGCCCTGCGACATTTTCGACTGATGGCCCTCCAAAGCCCCAACATTTTTGGGGGGTCGTGGTCCCCAAAATTTTGGAGCAACAGGGGTCATGTGGCACATCAATAAAAAGGTATTGACCTCTCCTCTCAGGAGATTTTTAGATTTTGAAATTTGGATGATTTGGCCGCTTACAGCGTCGAATTGAAAATTGCCCCAAAAATGCCCCATAACTCCAAAAAATGGGGGTTTAGGGAAAAAATGCAAAGAACAAAATGTTCTTATTTTTTACCGTAGATTCCGAATCCAAAGGCAAAACATACCCTTCCCATTTGAAAATTATGAGAAACGGGGGGGGGGGCTCCCGCCAAAAAACCCCCCAGGGGCCATTTTGGGGGGCTGAAAATATTTTCATTCGATCCTTTGGGGTCGATTTACCCTATGAAAGTTTTGGTCCTGAAGCTCAATTCTCCGCCGTTTTCGAGAAAAAGATAGTGGACGGGTGGTCTGGATCACCCTGTATGTATCATGAAAAGAAACACCTAAGCGAGGAAGGCTGTGGCAATATTACTTAAGTGGAATCTCTTGGGATCAAACAATTTCAAAAGAGATCTAGAGGAAATATTCTAACATTGTAGTGAAAATGATTGAAATTATTAAATTTTTTAAAAGCATTTCAATTCATGAATGTAACGTTTGGCAGCTGAGGAAACAGCCTCACGAAATGTTAGGAGCAACCCGACATGAATTTCTCGAATGGCGATGTTGATAGGGTGACAGAAAGGAGGTTGCTAAAGAAGATGATTGATTAGGTTATTCCTGGGAGGAGACAAGGGAGACAACTGGTAAAAGGATTGCGTTTTTGGGTTTTAAATGAAATCAGGGAGTGCCAACTCCCTCACGGGTTGTGGAAGTACCGAGTACATGTGGCAGTTAGGCGTCGCAGAGCGCCACAGAGCGCTAGAAAAGCCGCTCTTATGTATACATGATCTGACTCCTTCCACCTAAATATTATAATACTAATAAAATAAATATATCCTAATATATTAAATACTTTACTTGATAAAGTTCCAGCCTGTAAAGTTAAAATTAAAAATAAGGGCATACAAATTTAACAAAAAAAAATCATCACACAATTAAGAAAATAAAAAAGTAAAGAACTACACCCCCCCCTAGGATATTAAAAATACCCACAGGAGAAACATAGAACGGTTAACATGAAAGAAACCATGCTTAAAAAGTGTACCACGTCTTTAGCTGCGCGGATTTTAACTCGCACAGAACCATCCCCGGCTTAGATCGAAAGAACTTGGAAACTGAAAAACATTTAAAACTTAATAATGTTTGCGGTACAAACTCACTGAACAGCATAAGTCATTCTATCCGGTCTTAGTGAGCGCATAATGCAGAGTCTTTGTAGGGCTGTTTTTGCTTTCCACTCTTGAGGCAATTTATCGCGTTCAGGACATTCCCCTTCCACAAATTTTTTCCATCTCTTAGCAGCTCCTTCAATATCTTTGTCCAATCCTCTGCAAAGAAGAAAAACAAATTCCAATAGGCATGATACGCTTCAGACACAACCACCGCTCGTCGCGTTGAGCCACTCTCTCAAAAAGTCGGAGAATATTTAAGACAATTTCAGAAAGGACGCGGGGAAGGCCTCAATTTTCATTGCGTACCACCTAAAGAGGAATCTTGGGGATCACCATCTTCGGGAAAGGTTTAGATCCCAAGCTATGGCTCGTCAAGGTTAGCTCCGCGCTGAGCGCGCACCCCTTGCGCTGTTCGCATATCCTCTACGCGTCTGCCACCGATCCTGCTGCGCCCTTCTCCCTCCCCTCTCCCTCCCTGAATGCATTTTAACATTTTACTACCTACCTTTCGTATATATTTGCGTTATAGGTACATGAGAGTTTTAGCATGTTCGTGATTTCCAGTGGAATTGATGCTTTATTTCCCCCCCCCCCTCCCGGCCACTGTACTCCAAATATTGTGCGAAAAAGAAATATCTAATTTTCTTGTTACATATTTCTTATTTAAGTAAGTAAGTATTAGTTTCAAGTTGCTGAGGATACCTATTTGTCTGTCTTTTCTGAATATGGATTTTCATTAAAATCTCCTTTTTTCTTGAGGGCTATTATAATTTCACGGCATAAGTCGCAAACCGAGTACAAAGTATTCATTTGAATGGATACGGACGAAGGTTCTTCAGAAGCAGTTAAAGGCACTTTCTGTTCTTGCAAAATGGGAACAAGAACTGTTGACCCATGCTCGCATGCATTTTCTTTAATTTGGTATCCTTTTTACGGAAGATCCATAAAATCCATGAAATATCCATCTGAATTTCAATAAACCATTCCCACTAAAGAAGACAATGTTTTGCAATACTGATTGTTCAGAAATGTGTCGAGTGGATTGTGCTGGAGACATCGAAGATGAAAATCCATAGTGATGTTTGAAAGCGAAACTACTTTCAATTCACTTATTAAATTACTTTTTTTATACTTATTCTGTTCATTTTTACGTGTATTCCAGAAAACAAATACTTCCAGCAGCTTGATCGTTTACTTCGCTAGATACGGGTGATGGATACGGCGTATCTGTGGGTGCTCAAGTGATGTGGTGGCCCTGAAGGGCCGTTTTAGATGATGATGAGAGAAAGGATGGATAGCGTCTGGAGCGAGCGAACACTGGAGCAGCGTGGCTGATCTTGACTGACTTGAGGACTGAGCACGAGTGCCGTAGGTGGTAGATAACTGTGTTGAATGAAGCGGGCTGTCAGGTGAAATAACTTGTCGACCGTCGCCATGGCTCGTGGGTGAAAGATTGAATGCTGTGGACAGATTGATGGCCTTTTTATAGGGAAAGCTGCTTGATTGATTTGGTTGGAGCTTTCTTTATTGTTTGACCAAGTCCGGGAAGCGGAAGTGTACTTTCCTCCCTGATCGAGTCCTGTATTCCGGGGCTTTGGTCTCCGCTTCGTTGGGTGTTGGGGGCGGGACCGCAGCTGGGGCCGGAGTGGTTTTGGGATGTGCGAGCTGTACAGAGGCTCGTTCTTCGGGTAGGATGTAGGCCGGTTTAAGGCGGTCGATGCTGATGTTGACTTGCTTGCCTTTTATCAGAAGTTTGTATACTTTGTCGGTACGCTCTACGATTTTGTATGGCCCAGTGTATGGGGGCTGCAGAGACTTGCGACTTGTGTCGTCTCTGAGGAAGGCGTGGGAGCATGTCTTCAGGTCCTTGAATACGAACGTGTTTGCTGTGCCGTGGCGAGAGGCAGGTTTGGGCCGAAGATTTTCCATCTGGGTGCGCAGTTTGCTGACGTATTCTGCGGGGTTGTCTTGAGTTGGGTTTGCGACCAGTAGTTCCCCTGAGAGGCGTAGAGGTTCGCCATAGGTCAGCTCTGCGGGTGTTGCTTGGGCGTCTTCTCTAAAGACAGATCTCATGCCTAGAAGTACTAGTGGGAGAGCTTCTAGCCATGTGGAGTTTGGGTGGCACATGATGGCGCTCTTGAGGTGTCTGTGCATCCGTTCAACCATTCCGTTTGCTGCGGGGTGGTATGGAGTTGACCGGATGTGATTGATTCCTAGCTGTTTCTCCAAGGCTCGGAAGAGATGAGATTAAAATTGTCGGCCTTGATCACTTGTAAGCAGGGAAGGTGAACCGAATCTTGAAATCCAGCAGTTTAGGAGGGCTGTTGCGACTTCTTCAGCTGTGATACCCTCTAGAGGTTGTGCTTCTGGCCAGCGGGTGTAGCGGTCGATGACCGTGAGGCAATACTTGTAGTTTTGCGCCAGAGGAAGAGGTCCGATCAAGTCAATGTGGATGTGCTGGAATCGGTTGGATGGAGTGTTGATGGTACCTAGAGGTGAGTGTACGTGCCGGGAGACTTTGGCTCGTTGACACTCCTGACAGGCTTGGGTCCATCTCCGACAGTCAATATGCATTTTTGGCCAGACGTAGCGATTGGAGATGAGTTTCTGTGTTGCTCTGGTGCCGGGGTGGCTCAGGTTGTGGAGTTGTTTGAAGATCCTTTGTCTGAGTGGAAATGGGACATAGGGTCTTTGCTGCGTTGTAGAGTCGCAGTAGATTTTGATGTCTGTTCCTGGGACGGGAATGAGCGTGAGTTTGATTGAAAGTTTGTCGTCCTTCAAGAGTTCTGGTAGCTCTGGGTCGTCTTTCTGTGCTGCGGCAAGTGTGTTGAAGTCGATCTGGTTTGTGGAAGTGATCGCTTCGATTCTGGAGAATGCGTCAGCGACGACGTTGGCGGAGCCTGGTATGTACTGAATGTCCGTTGTGAACTGGGATATGAATGAAAGTTGGTTCATTTGGACGGGCGGCAGGTTTCCATGTTTCTTGTCGAAGACGTAGGTTAGTGGCTTATGATCTGTATAGATCGTGAAGTCCTGACCTTCAACTGCCGGTCTGAAATGGCGGATTGCTTCGTACACGCCCAGGGGTTCTCTGTGCGGCGTGGGCCATTCCTGTTTCCGTGGATTGAGCTTTTTCGAGAAGAAGCCGAGAGGTTGCCACTTGTTGTCGACGAGTTGCTGTAGACAGGCTCCAATCGATGCTTTCGAAGCGTCTGAGAAGAGGCCTATACTTAGGGGTGCGTCGGCGCTTGGGTGCGCGAGGAGTGTGGCATCTCCGAGGCTCTGTTTGCAGGCTTCAAAGGCGTCCAAAAGGGAAGGTGTCCAGTGAATCGGTTGATTCCCTTTTATGCCGATGAGAGCTTCGTGTAGGGGTGCTTGGTAGTAGGCAGCATCTGGTAGGAAAAGGCGGTAGAAGTTCATCATGCCCAGGAATCTTCGTAGACCGTGTGCATCTGCTGGAGGTGGGTATTCCATCAGTGCTTTTATGCGGTCTGGGAGTGGTCTGATGCCTTGGGCGGACACTTCGTAACCGAGGAACTCAAGGGAGTCGGCAAAAAAGATGCTCTTCTTGATGTTGATGATGATGCCGTATTTTGCTAATCTCTGAAAAATTAGGCGTAGATGCTTCTTGTGTTCCTTCTTGTCTTTTGAGGCGACCAGGAAGTCGTCTATATACGGGAAGCAGAAGTCTAGGCCTTGTAGGACTTCGTCGATGAACCGTTGAAAAGTTTGTCCTGCGTTGCGCAGTCCGAAACTCATGTAGAGGAATTCGAATAGTCCAAAAGGAGTGTTGATGGCTGTTTTGGGTACGTCTGCTGGGTTGACGGGGATCTGGGTGTATGCCTTGACCAGATCTATTTTTGAGAAGACTGTGCAGCCTTTGAGGTTGACTGTAAAGTCGTGGAGATGGCGAATGGGATATTTGTCGGGTATGGTGCGAGCGTTGAGTGCCCGATAGTCGCCGCAGGGGCGCCATTCGTCATCTTTCTTGGGTGCCATGTGAAGAGGTGAAGACCAGGCGCTTTCGGATCTCTTGATGGTCCCTTCGTTGAGCATTGCCTCGAACTCAGCTTTAGCGATTCGGTATAGCTTGGGTCGGAGGCGGCGAGGGCGGGATGAGACTGGGGGTCCCTCTGTTGTGCGGATGAAGTGCCGTGTTGAGTGAGGAACCTTGTCTGGTTTTGGGCTGCCTGGCGGGCGGGTCAATTCTGGAAATTCTGCGAGGATGCTGCAGTTGGTGGCCGAAATTTCTTTGACGCTAGGTTGGTCGCTGGTTGCTTGACTTCCTTGGGCTGAGAGTGAAGTAACCCCGTCCACGAGCTTCATCTTGTGGCAATCCGGGAGTAGATGGTATTCGGCTAGGAAGTCCGCGCCAATGATGGGAACGTCGACGTCAGCGATGATGAACCGCCAGGAAAAGGCGCGTCGTAGGCCGAGGTTTAATTTCATGGGCAGGAACCCATAGGTTTTGATGAATGATTCGTTCGCTGCTTTTAGTTCATAGTTTGTTGGTTTGAAATGGCCTGGTAGGAGACGTCTAGGGAAACAGCTTAAGTCAGACCCTGTGTCTATTAGGAAGCTGTTGTTGCTGTCTCTGTCTTTAATGGAGAGGCGGTTGGACCGTGTGGGGCAGCCAGCAGCCGCCACTATTGGCTGCCGTTGTCGTTTGTTGAGCTGAGATATTTGCATGGTTGATGACACTTGCGAGCCTCTTTTCCGAAATTCTCATGATAGAAACAATATCCTTTCTCGGATTTGAACGGCTTGGGTGAACTATAGCGTGAGCGAAATTTGGAGCGGGAACGGCTTCTGCTTCTATCGATATTTCTTTCCAGGTTCTTGACTTTAACATCTAAGAGGTCAAATTTGTGACTGAGAGCTGTTAGCATTTCTTTGATGTCGGATAAAGGGTCAGTAGGTTTGGAGACTTGGTGAACTGAAGGAGAAGGATTGGTTTGATTTGTGGCGGAGTGAACGGAATGAGGGATGGTTTCCGCAATTCGGTCTGCTACATCGGCTATCTCAGTCAGCGTGTTGTTGCTGGGTTGGGCTTGCAAAATGCCTTGCACGTAGGCGGGTAGCCTACTTAGCCATAGTGGTTTCATGATGTTGTCAGCAATTGGTGTGCTGCCTGCGACAGTTTTGAGTCTGCGTAA